AAAATCACAGTGGCCATACATCTCTAGTTCAGTATAAAAAATAATTTATCTCAGATACAATCCACTTAAAGGCAGGAAGCAACAAGAAAATTAAAAACTAAAAACTAGAAACAAAAATGTGCATGGAATGAGAATTCTACATGCTGGCACTGCACATGAAGGGCAAGCTTAAGACACAGAAATGAAGTTAATTTTGAACAGGATCAAAGACAGTCAACATGCTAAAAATCAAGCAATCTCAATTACTGATTCTGACATATTTATGTGTGAACAGCTAGGGTTTGGTTACACCCCACAATGACCAAATGCTGATTCTTGTGTCTAAGCTAGATATACCTCTTCTGTGAACAGCTAGGGTTTGGTTACCTATGACATCATACACTGACCAAATGTTGATTCTTGTGTCTAAGCTAGATATACCTCTTCTTCTTCTATGAACAGCTAGGGTTTGATTACACTCCACAATGACCAAATGTTGATTCTTGTGTCTAAGCTAGATATACCTCTTCTGTGAACAGCTAGGGTTTGGTTACACCCCACAATGACCAAATGTTGATTCTTGTGTCTAAGCTAGATATACCTCTTCTGTGAACAGCTAGGGTTTGGTTACACCCCACACTGACCAAATGTTGATTCTTGTGTCTAAGCTAGATATACCTCTTCTTCTTCTGTGAACAGCTAGGGTTTGGTTACCTATGCCACCCCACACTGACCAAATGTGGATTCTTGTGTCTAAGCTAGATATACCTCCTCTTCTTCTGTAAACAGCTAGGGTTTGGTTACACCCCACACTGACCAAATGTTGATTCTTGTGTCTAAGCTAGATATACCTCTTCTTCTTCTGTAAACAGCTAGGGTTTGGTTACCTATGACACCCCACACTGACCAAATGTGGATTCTTGTGTCTAAGCTAGATATACCTCTTCTTCTTCTGTGAACAGCTAGGGTTTGGTTACCTATGCCACCCCACAATGACCAAATGTTGATTCTTGTGTCTAAGCTAGATATACCTCTTCTGTGAACAGCTAGGGTTTGGTTACACCCCACACTGACCAAATGTTGATTCTTGTGTCTAAGCTAGATATACCTCTTCTGTGAACAGCTAGGGTTTGGTTACACCCCACAATGACCAAATGTTGATTCTTGTCTCTAAGCTAGATATACCTCTTCTTCTGCATTACCCTTAAAAGGGTAGTTGGCATGTTGTTGTGGTTTACAGCTAGGCTGCGATATCCGCACCTCTCTGCTCAACCCATCTGATTTTCAAAAGTGATAAAAAAACAGGGCTGACTACACTCAAGCTGGCACGAGGAAAATAATCCACTCAACTGTGACTAAGAAACTTGACGGTGGAAAAGTGGAAAAAGCACATACACAAGAACAATCAGATGTTTGGGCAGCAGTCTTAATCAACACTGTTGTGGGTTTTGTTTGTTGGTGAAATGTCTTACTGTTCCTGTGTTTTTGTTTTTTCCTTCTTTATCACCGTCATTCAGTTTCTTAGTCAAAGTGCAGTGGACTAACATCTGATTTCAGCATATACACAACTAGTTGTTTTCTTCTTCTTCTTCTTCTTCTTCAAGTCCATACAGTGTGACGTTGGTAGTCATGTCTATCCACAACCGTTTGTCTTGTGTACTTTCAATCAACTCTGAAACAGATGATTTTTCATGCCATGATGTCACACTGTCTAGCATCTTTTCTCTTGGTCTCCCTCTGCCTCCCCTCCCCTTCAACTTTCCTACTGTCAGCATGTACCCCAGTTTTCTAGTTATCATCACATGACCAAAGAATGTAGATTGTCTCTTTCTGAAATTGTGTTTTACAAGACGCAAGTTAAGGGAATGTGTGTCTATTCACCTTTTCCCTAAAATAGGGCCTGACAACACTTAATCTATTAAAAAATTAGAAGATTTGAAAAAAAAAAAACTAGATGCACAAATGTTCACAACATACCATGAGAAGCTGGTGGGTCTGTGCATGCTGTTAGCGAGGGCTCTTGGACTGTGTCACCCGGTGCCTCAGAGGAGTCTGGCTGTGACATGATTCTCTCACTCGCGGTCGGGGAGCCTAGAGAAGTTGGTGCATGCATCGTACAACTCATGCTCATGAAGACTAGCAAATGTTAAATGCTATAATAAAGTTTACTCATTACTGACAACATCATACTCTACTTCTTCCCATTTCTTTTCTTCAGCCTACTCTCTCCTCTTTCTCTGATGCCGTTGCTTCTTTTTTCATTTTCTTCAGTTGACTGTCCAGGAAACAAATTCTCCAGTCATCTCCATCATGTGATATTTCAATGAACCTGATCTGGCTTAAATTTATTACCTAACTGCTGATGAACTTTTCCATATCCTTCCCTGTTTTATGCTGCTTCTTGCTAGTATTTCCCCAAACAAGGCTAATTCCTCTACTCCACCTCTTCTGCGGTTTGCTGAGTTGTAAACTGACATCACAACATGCTGGACATCCCTGCAAATGCTCAATCCTTACCTTCATCAGCCGCAACAGAGTTCTAATTCGGAAAGTACCAGTACTGATTGCATGTCTGTCTTGCTTTTCTTCTGAGAACTGAGTGTCGCGCTAGATCCTCTGGTCACTCTCCAGGCTGTATTGATGTGTTTGTTTTCCTGCGCTACTCACCCGCTCTCAAAGAGGTTTGACCACATCTAGCTTAACATGCATAAATTGACCACCAAGTGGTGCAGAACCAGCCAATCTAAGTGCCTGTTCATTTCCCAACACACCTGAATACATTTCTGGTACCTTTTCTGTTGATATGCTATTTCAATGAGACTGCTCAAGGTTTCGCTGTGTGACTAAGACTAGTAAACAAAAAATGTGCTATAAATTAAACTGTAAAAACAAAAGAAAATTTTCCTGTAATGAATTAGAAAAGGCTGTCTCATGCAAAACAATAGTAAATAGAACACCTTGTAAGAAAGAATAACACTGAAAAACAAGAATAAAGTACTTACGCTTAGTAAGGTCAATAAGGGCATCAAGGTATCAAGCACATTTAAAACAATATCATCAAAGTCACTGATAATATGATCCAGAGGCAACATGCAGTTAAAGAAACACACATGAATTATAATACATCAGTGAGGAAAGGCTGGCCGAACGGTTAGAACGCTAGGCTCTCAAGCGGGAGACCCTGGTTTGAATCCTTGGTGAGGCTGGGTATTTTTTTCTGTGGGGAGCAAAATCCTCACCTGCACAGTCGTGGCGACAGCACTAGCCATGCGGCTGTAAATCCTTAGACTCAATGAACCCCCCTGTCTCCACTGCAACAGTGGTATTATAAAGCCAGTAATTGGCAGCTGTTTTGTTTTTTATAAGACATCAGTTTAACTAACATTTTTTTTTTAATTAACAGTAAAACTTACTTTCATTTTAATTCAAACCATTTTGTTTAATATGTTTTTATTTTCTAGATGAAAGGGATTCAACTGCATCAAATTTAACTTAATCTTTCACCGCAGAGTGACCTGCAATCTGATGAGAACATCCCAGAAAACAAATATTATGCCCAGATCTTAAACATCTTGAAATTTTTTTTTTTTTTTAAATACAGGACCTTCCTCTCCTGTCTTTATCTTGTTGAACAAACACAACTTAGTTTGCTTTAGCTAAATGAATGTAATGAGTAAAATACCTCTGAGTTTCTCCAGCAGGTCATAAGGATCTGTTAAAATGTTGCCCTCACTGCTGGACCGCACCAGACACTCACTAGAGGACGGACACCTGGAGTGGGCAGGGGATGGTTCACCACTTAATGATTTCTGCTTGGATAAGTCGGGCCTGATTTTACCTCCAGCACCTGATGAACGGTCAAACACATAACAACTTTTTAGGGCTACTAGTCATGAATAAGGACAGTGGTGAAGCAATGAAACATTTCATATATTTATTATCATGGAAGAAGAAAATGTTCAAGTAACTTCTTTGCTCTTAACGTTCACTGCCTGTAAATTCTGGTGGAAAGTTCTACTTGTTCGTCCATTTCTAGACTTTGCTCTTGCCCCAAAACTTGAGATTTGTATGCACAACTTTGTAACAGATCTGACTTATTTGTAGGCACATCCTTGTAACAGATCTGACTTATTTGTATGCACAACTTTGTAACAGATCTGACTTATTTGTAGGCACATCCTTGTAACAGATCTGACTTATTTGTAGTCACATCCTTGTAACAGATCTGACTTATTTGTAGGCACATCCTTGTAACAGATCTGACTTATTTGTATGCACAACTTTGTAACAGATCTGACTTATTTGTAGGCACATCCTTGTAACAGATCTGACTTATTTGTATGCACAACTTTGTAACATATCTGACTTATTTGTAGGCACATCCTTGTAAAAGATCTGACTTATTTGTAGGCACATCCTTGAAACAGATCTGACTTATTTGTAGGCACATCCTTGTAACAGATCTGGCTTACTTGTATGCAGACTGCTGGTTCCTTGTCTCTCAGGCAGAAGCACTCCGACTTGTAAGGAAATATCCCTAATTAGTCGCCTGTTACAGCAAGGCTTGTTGTTAAAGGACAGTGAATCTATTCCTTCCCCCACCCCACAGAAATTGGGGTAATGAAGCCCCCAGTGAGATAAAGTAATTGAACACTGGATATTATCATGGTCATGGAATAGGGAAGTGTGGAAGTTGGGTAATATTTACAAACCAATTTTTTTATATTTTCAGTTTTAGGAGTGCATACTGACAGATAAGCACCCAGTGACTCAAAGAGACACTATTTGGATGAGACTCCAGCAGCAAACCCATAAACCCTGTTCAACTGTATAACACAGGAACATTAGGGCACTTTACATTTACAGCACACACCTATGGTCCACTTTGGGTTGGTAATAAGTCGCTAGATTTCAAAGAAAGTGTTGAAGTAATGTAACATTGCATTTGTTCATTATCAATTTATACCACGTTTACATACATACACATTTTCGTACCATCACTTTTGTACTTGATTCCTCTATCAAAGGAACTCAAGAGACTCTGAATGGACGGCGCTGTTTGCTGATATTACTGGACTGACAACCTGACTCTCGCTGACACTCCAGGCTCTTGAAGCATGTTTCTCTGACTTCCCTCCCGTCTTCATGAAAGACGGCTTCACCTTGGTCGATTCTGCCATGAAGAAGAAGAAGACATGTAATATTATTACTTCACATGTATTTAACTGCAAGCCGTAAAATATGCCACGTCAGTAACAACTATCTGTCTGGTGATACAACAGAAGTGTCTTTCTCAGGTGGACCAGTGGAGTCCCTGGAACAAATTCTGTTTCTGACAGTTGAGAAAATGCCCAGGTTGATCCAAAATCCATCCAGAGAAGCTCAAAGAGCTTTCATCTGAAGGATGTCAACCAGTGGACCAGCTCAAAGAGCTTTCATCTGTAGGATGTCAACCAGTGGACAGCTCAAAGAGTTTTCATCTGAAGGATGTCAACCAGTGGACCAGCTCAAAGAGCTTTTATCTGAAAGATGTCAACCAGTGGACCAGCTCAAAGAGCTTACATCTGAAGGATGTGAACCAGTGGACATTCATCAATAAATGCCAGCAGCATATGGTGACAAACATTTGTCAAAGACAACAGCGACAGACCAGGCATTTTTTTTTTTTTTGGTGGGGGAGACCGATTTCTCACGACAATACTTCCATAGCCTGGCCAAGCGCAGATTGCTGGAACAGAAGAAAGTATCCTCAAAACTGATGCAGCAATACAGGTGAACCACTGTCAAAGCATACGTTCACAACGACAAAAATGTGATGTGTCCATTTGGGACAGTTCAAAATGTTGTTCATTTAAAACTGCAATATGGTAAGATGTGTTCACGGTGGGTACCAAGGATGTGGACCCTGTAAACACTTGGTTCAGTGAGCAGCCACAATCCTCCATTTTTGTTTTCAGAGGACATTCACCGCCGACCAAATTAACGGGATACTTGCTTGAATGCCTCCAGCAATGTTTTCTGACCACCCATGATGCATTATTCATTCAAAATGTATGCTATGTTTTAATTCTGCAACATCTATTTATGTTTTTTTCATGCTTTTGTAAAAAACCATTGGAACAAATTTCAAATAAATGTTCTAAAAAATATTCATAAATTATCATAAGTTTTCCAGAATGATTTAAAAATTATTGGATTCATGGCTTACTTTCAAACATAAAAGGGGTCACAGGTCTTAACTAACTGGAAGCCATTGCTATAGAATAAAGAAATTAGTTACAGCATGTATATAAGATTTCATGAGAAAAATATCTACTTTGGTTTTGCCCTTCAAAAATCTTGTCTACATGTTGCATTGCAATTTTAGCTAGGCAGTAATATCTGTGCCTTTCAGATCAACACATATGATGTCCTCAAACATTTCATTAGTCATCTTTTACAACATACTGTTTAAAGAGCTGTGGGACTGTTCTTCAGTGCCCCCCCCCCCCCTTCCAATTAGAGCCCCTGAAATCCACACTGGGATAAAATATAGTTTTATATATATATATATATATATATATATATATATATATATATATATATATATATATACAGCAGGCACGCACATATATCTGCTTTCATGACAGAAATGAGTATAGTTTTATCATGTACATCTGCCTGCAATATACGACAAACAAAACTTATTTTATCATGTATAGCTGTCTTCATGACAAAAATGAATATTATTTGTATCATATATATATTTGCGATAAAAATGAATATAGTTTAATATTCACAACACAGTTTCAGATTTGAACCTACAGACAACCTTTAGGCCCGAAGTGAGCATCTAGCTACTACGCCCCAACACCTCCTAAAGAGTACTGTGTTTGAATAAAACATTTTTTATAAGCCTTGTGTGAAAGTAGTTCTCATACCTTTGCCTCGTTTCCTTTTCTCCTTTTGCTCACTCAGCCTCTCAAGGGGTAGGTCGCTGAGGTCCAAACCATACACTTGCCGAGCCAACATTTTAGTTAAAGTCTCCATGGTTTTCTAATGATAACATAAATCGTAACAAAACAAACAATTACAAATTTCTGCAACTCATGAACTTCTACCATTGTTTTCTGACGATAAAACCAGATTATACTGAAAGAAAATCTTACAAATCCATACTTTTTTAATGATGAAACAAATCATACCCCTCCCCCTTTTCTCCCCCCCCCCCCCCCATATTATAAATTCCTCAGTACAAAACTGCTGTCTAGTTTTCTATGATAAAACAATTCACAGTACAAATATTTTAAATTCCTTAACATAGAAATGCTACCACAGTTTTCTAATGATGAAACAAATCAGAGGACAATATTACAAATCTCTCAGCACATCAGAAATGCTACCACAGTTTTCTAATGATGAAACAAATTATATCAAAAACAATGTCACAAACTGCTCAACACCAGAACTGCTATCACTTGTACGGATGAACACACACAAACTGTCTTTACTTCTTTTATTTGCCACTTTTGGCAGTGTCGGACAGGGAGGTCCTGAGTCTGAGGATTTACGCTGTCATCGCTGTGCAGATTAAGTTTTTTTAATTTCTTTCCCGCAACGGAAAAAAATCTCCATCCTTTACTGAGGATCGAACCTAGGTCTCTCGCAAGACATCCCAGCACCCTAACCACGTAGCCATAGATCAAAAATTCTGCAAAGCAAGCTTTTGTTCTTCCAGCTCCATGAAGTGACTTCACCAGTTTCTGTACCAATCGTCTGCTGTTTTTAAGACAATAAACAGAGACAACTAAACATAGTAAAATCATGGATAAAAGAAGTTAAAACTGTGAATGAGTTAGAGTCAGTATGTGGGGAAGGGATTAATATTGCGATTGAGTTAGAGTAGGTATGTGGGGAAGGGATTAATATTGTGATTGAGTTAGAGTAGGTATGTGGGGAAGGGATTAATATTGTGATTGAGTTAGAGTAGGTATGTGGGGAAAGGATTAATATTGTGATTGAGTTAGAGTAGGTATGTGGGGAAAGGATTAATATTGTGATTGAGTTAGAGTTAGTATGTGGGGAAGGGATTAATTTTGTGATTGAGTTAGAGTCAGTATGTGGGAAAGGGATTAATATTGTGATTGAGCAAGAGTCAGTATGCGAGGAAGGGAACACGTACAAAGCTGAATCTGATCCACTAATTCAGAATCTATCAAAGAGCTCCTGACAGGGTCATGGAGGTCAACACTTACCGACCATTCAAAGATAAGCTCTTTCCATGAAGTCAGCGAGGACAGCACAGCCAAAAACTCATCCCACAATGCAGTGCTCACCATTACATTCAAGTTTGCCTTGGTCCATGTTGCTATCAGAGTCTGAAAGTATATTGTGTGGGGATTCAAACAATTTCTGCATTCTGGCTGTAGAATTGGTATTAACTGACTTTAAGAAAAGACCAAAACATAACTTGTTGACACAAATATCATTACTTTTTAACATGTTGTTCAAGTATCAACAAGCTTTTAAATTTCCTGATTAAACTATGTTCAACAGTGTGAGCAGAGGTGTGTGAATATTAAATGTCATGAAAGATCACAAGATCTTGTGTCCTTTGTTTACATTTCAGCCCTTCAGTGAGCATCTCAATATAATGATCACTTTCAGGTGTTTGCCTGATAGCATTCCAACACTCGTCCTCACACAAAATGTTCACACCTGTACAGCAACGATCTTAAACAGAAAGTGTTGATAAGATTGCAATCAACAGAAGTTTTAATATCTCTTTCTCTCTACATTCAACATCTGTAAGATCCAGCAGAAAGTCCGGGTTGTTCGTCGACTTCAGGAATTTGGTCTTGTTCCAGGACTGGACGATAGTGAGTACATCTTTTTTTACAGATCTAGCTTATTTGTATCCAAACTGTTGGTCCCTCACCTCTCAGGCAGATAGGTCAGCACCAGGGAACCTGTTTCTAAAATGACCCCAGTGAGGTGTAGATAGGTCACCATGGACACCTGTTTCTAAGATGACCCCAGTGAGGTGTAGATAGGTCACCATGGAACTTGTTTCTAAGATGACCCCAGTGAGGTGTAGATAGGTCACCGCTTGAGAACTAGTTTCTAAGATGACCCCAGTGAGGTGTAGATAGGTCACCATGTAACTTGTTTCTAAGATGACCCCAGTGAGGTGTAGATAGGTCACCGCTTGAGAACTTGTTTCTAAGATGACCCCAGTTAAGTGTAGATAGGTCACCGCTTGAGAACTTGTTTCTAAGATGACCCCAGTGAGGTGCAGATAGGTCACCATGGAACTTGTTTCTAAGATGACCCCAGTGAGGTGTAGATAGGTCACCATGGAACTTGTTTCTAAGATGACCCCAGTGAGGTGTAGATAGGTCACCGCTGGAGAACTTGTTTCTAAGATGACCCCAGTTAAGTGTAGATAGGTCACCGCTTGAGAACCTGTTTCTAAGATGACCCCAGTTAAGTGTAGATAGGTCACCGCTTGAGAACCTGTATCTAAGATGACCCCAGTTAAGTGTAGATAGGTCACCGCTTGAGAACGTGTTTCTAAGATGACCCCAGTTAAGTGTAGATAGGTCACCGCTTGAGAACGTGTTTCTAAGATGACCCCAGTTAAGTGTAGATAGGTCACCGCTTGAGAACTTGTTTCTACGATGACCCCAATGAGGTGTGGATAGGTCACCATGGAACCTGTTTCTAAGATGACCCCAGTGAGGTGTAGATATGTCACCACTTGGGAACCTGTTTCTAAGATGACCCTAGCGACGTGTAGATAGGTCACCGCTTGAGAACCTGTATCTAAGATGACCCCAGTTAAGTGTAGATAGGTCACCGCTTGAGAACTTGTTTCTAAGATGACCCCAGTTAAGTGTAGATAGGTCACCGCTTGAGAACTTGTTTCTACGATGACCCCAGTGAGGTGTGGATAGGTCGCCATGGAACCTGTTTCTAAGATGACCCCAGTGAGGTGTAGATATGTCACCACTTGGGAACCTGTTTCTAAGATGACCCCAGTGACGTGTAGATAAGTCAGCACTTGGGAACCTGTTTCTAAGATGACCCCAGTGACGTGTAGATAGGTCAGCACTTGGGAACCTGTATCTAAGATGACCCCAGTGAGGTGTAGATAGGTCAGCACTTGGGAACCTGTTTCTAAGATGACCCCAGTGAGCTGTAGATAGGTCACCGCTTGGGAACCTGTTTCTAAGATGACCCCAGTGAGGTGTAGACAGGTCTTGACCAGCACGGTCCCGGTGAACCACCACATGTGGTTCAGCACTTTTACATCCCAAGACTGATTATATCAAAAGATATCCAAGTGCAGACAACTGCTGTCTCACCCTTGTATTTACATTCACAATCCTGCTGAGTAACTCCAAATACATTTAAAAAGGACAGATAACTACAACAATTAAAATACCAAGCACCAGCAACAATCAGCTAAAGCCCACAGATATTAATACTAAAAGAACTGGACCAGACCAGACTCAAAACCCCAAGTACCACACCGGACTTAGGAAGACAAAGAACAAGAATTTCAGGTGTGACTTCACACCACAAATAAAAGGAAACCAAATAAGATAGCCAAGGAACCTTTATATCCAAATAGCAGACCTCCGGGCGGCTGAATTTACATTCACATTTCCTAATTTTTGTTGGACAACTGGAATTTTTTTAAAGAACAATTAAAAGGCTAATCTAAAACTGGGGAGTTATATGTGTGGACCATCATCATTATATATGTACTGTACGGAGCATCAAACTTTTTATGACAGACATTGTATTCTCCTGAGTGATTAAATCCATCAATTAATCATCACCATCAGCACAGAACCTAGAGAAGAACCATTAACTGTGGATTGCCCTATTGTAAACTCAAATGTATACCAAAACACAGAAAAATGGTATGATTACTGAATGTCTGACCCCTCGGCCGGTGCTGTTCTGAACTTGGGTCAACACCGAGGCAAAGTCAAGGTTATGTAGGTGCAGTAAGAGATGTGAGGACAGGCGGACTTTAAATTGCCTGTCCCCAAACACACTCTCTACACCAGGGTTTTAAAACACACACATTCTAACATTTATAATCCACACTCCACACCAGGGTTTTACAACACACACATTCTAAAATTTATAATCCACACTCTACACCAGGGTTTTACAACACACACATTCTAAAATTTATAATCCACACTCTACACCAGGGTTTTACAACACACACAATCTAACAATTATAATCCACACACCAATTCCCACCCCCCACCCCTTTTTTTCCCCAGTTTATAAAAAGAAATGTGATTAGAAATAAGAGGACCAAAAAAATCTCAAACACTATCAACAAGAACATCCCCATAATTCGAAGTGTCAAAAAACATCAAAGAAACAATCACCAACAACTGATAATTTAGTGTCCAAATATCAATGTGGTCATTGACACTGTTTTGCCTTGCTAATATTTGCTGTACAAACCTGCTCATGAAAACAAAAACACCCTTGGCTTTTTGTTTTAAAAGAATTTTTTTTTTATATATATATGTTATTTATATTAGTATAACTGAAAGAAAAAAATTTTAGTATAAAGAATTATGACAAATATAAATGCACTCAATTTCAAATTGCTTGATGCCCCTACTCCCGTGAAACATCTTTGTGCCTCCCTCCCCCAGCTGAAAACCACTGCCCTGTACCATGATTTATAACACACTCTCTACACAAATGGCTATAATTTATCTCTCTAATTACAATAAGGCTGCAGTAGAGCGGTGGCTAGCATGCTTTCTTTCTGCCTTAGTGGTCATAGGTTCAAATCCCCATCAGGGTGGTTGTTTAAAAAAAATTTTAACGGCTAGCTTTTGTACATTTTTTAATTTTGTTGTCCTTTATATTTCCTGGGACTGCTGCAGTAAGTACAGGTTTGCACAAACTGTTTAGGCTGGACACTATATGTTTCTGTATCTTGCAAAATTTACCTGAAACAAATGCTGAGCCAGTCTGCCTCCCAAGGTTTTATACCTGTCCACAGGTGGGCTGCGTTTGAGGACACCAGAAGTAATTCTCAAAAGCACCTTCAGCAATTGTTCCCTGTCAGATACAAACAGGGACAAAACAGAACTATTTCAAAATGGTGTGTGCTTTTCATACTCATTACAGTAATCAGGAAAAGCGATGGACACGGCTGACATTCTCACTGCTCTAAAGGAGGCAGGACGAGTAGATGATTCAGGAGACGACTGTGAAATGACAACCTTGACAAGATTACAAGAACCTCATGTCAAAACAGGTGTTGCCTAACAGTACACTATACAGGCAGCCAAAGAAGAATAGTAAACCAACACAGAACTGATGTTATTGGTCGCCACAGGCTGGGGGAAGAAACTGAAGATGGGATCAGATACTTATGGACCTGTCCGGTGTGCAATGAGGACGACCAGTCAATTAACTAACTAATTACCATTTGTCTTATTCTCCTTGCTTTTCTACAATGTGCTTTTCCTCACATGATCTATGAGAAGAGACTAGAGCAAATATGGAGACAACCTTGTGCAATGGAAGCAATCCTTTGCCAACCAACTAACCACATAAGCCCGGTGGATTTACAGTCTGGGCTAGCAGGTGTGGCCATTCACTTAAAAACTATGTGCAAGAGTGTCTCATTTGAATGTGTGACAGTCAATTATGTTTCATATGAGCCCACTGCAGCTGTACAGAGTTAATCGTGATGTTAAAAGTTAATCTTGATGCTATCAGTTTAAGTTAAAGCCAATCATCATCCTGGAAGTTAAAATTAAAGCTAATCCTGGTGTTAGAAGTTCCCAGCCAGGTAATAAGTTTAACTATAACAGATGGCTCTGTGTTGAAAGGCAGATGATGTGCATGGGGGCTCATAGCAACAGTAAATGGACGTCGCTTAGTGCAGCAAAGGCTGGCATATATCACATCACAACGTCCCCCGTCCCCATACAATGAGGTCAAAGAACCTACATGGGGAGAAATATGCATCTAATATCATGTGCACAATGTGCCAATGGTATGAAAAGGGTCCTTTTTGACTTTTATTTTCTTTCTGTCAGGACTACTGGAGGCATAACAAACATCAACATACTGACCACGTCTGCTGGTTGATGTCCATGTTCACCACAATATATCTGTAAATGTTCAGCACTCTTTTGCACAGTTCAACCTGGACAAAAAAACAAAAATAAAACTGTGAAATTAACATTTCCTGTATAAAGAGAAAAATATACTTACAATCAATAAAACCATACTAATACCAACATTGAACGAACAGGTGAAGAAGAGATACTGACTAGAGAGGACACAAGTTGAGAAAACCTGAGAATTATACAACTAGAATGTTACACTGGAACCCATATGGACACCGGAAAAAAGCAGATTTAAAAAAAAAAACATGGGGAGGAGAACTAGAGAGGGAAGTTAAAAAGATGGAAATGACATTAGGTGAGCCGCCAGCCACAGTAAAGGATAGGACGACTTGATGTGAGTTGCCTGAGGGTCCATGCTCTACTTGGGGATAAATGAAAGAAGAAGAAAAAGAAAACCAACACAGCAGATCATCATCATCATCATTGTCCTGTTGTGTCATTACTTGTCACACAGGGCTGGCAGTCTGTACCTCCATTCAATGCTATCCTGTGCAATCTTTCTATATCATGGATGGAATCCAGTCCAGCATCTTTGGCCTTCTCATGAACGTTCATTTTAGAGTTTCATGTGGATGTCCTCGCCACTCCAATCACTTTATTTCACATTTTAGAGCTTGTTTGGTGATTCTCTGCTTATTTCATCTCACTGTGTGTCCAATATAGCAACATCTTCTTTGTCTTAAAACTGCTGTTAACAGTGGCTGCCCAGAGATTTCTCTTCTTTCTTCACTACTCCTGAATTCAACCCCTTTTATGTTCAACATTTTCCATAGGTATTTGTTTTTAAATGCATTTAGCTTTCATTGCATGTCTTCAGTGGTTCCCCAACTTTCACTGGCATAAGTTCACCAACTTTCGCTGGCATAAGTTCCCCAACTTTCACTGGCTTAAGTTCCCCAACTTTCGCTGGCATAAGTTCCCCAACTTTCACTGGCTTAAGTTCCCCAACTTTCGCTGGCATAAGTTCCCCAACTTTCACTGGCATAAGTTCCCCAACTTTCGCTGGCATAAGTTCCCCAACTGTCACAGGCATAAGTTCCCTAACTTTTGCTAGCATAAGTACACCAACTGTCACAGGCATAAGTTCCCCAACTTTCGCTAGCATAAGTACACCAACTTTCACTGGCATAAGTTCCCCAACTTTCACTTACATAAGTTCCCCAACTTTCACAGGCGTAAGTTCCCCAACTTTTGCTAGCATAAGTACACCAACTTTCACTGGCATAAGTTCCCCAACTTTTGCTAGCATAAGTACACCAACTTTCACTGGCATAAGTTCACCAACTTTCGCTGGCATAAGTTCCCCAACTTTAACTGGCTTAAGTTCACCAACTTTCGCTGGCATAAGTTCCCCAACTTTCACTGGCATAAGTTCCCCAACTTTCGCTGGCATAAGTTCCCCAACTTTCACAGGCATAAGTTCCCTAACTTTCGCTAGCATAAGTACACCAACTGTCACAGGCATAAGTTCCCCAACTTTCGCTAGCATAAGTACACCAACTTTCACTGGCATAAGTTCCCCAACTTTCACTTACATAAGTTCCCCAACTTTCACAGGCGTAAGTTCCCCAACTTTTGCTAGCATAAGTACACCAACTTTCACTGGCATAAGTTCCCCAACTTTTGCTAGCATAAGTACACCAACTTTCACTGGCATAAGTTCCCCAACTTTTGCTAGCATAAGTACACCAACTTTCACTGGCATAAGTTCCCCAACTGTTGCTAGCATAAGCACACCAACTTTCACTGGCATAAGTTCCCCAACTTTCACTGGCATAAGTTCCCCAACTTTCACTGGCATAAGTTCCCCAACTTTCACTAGCATAAGTTCCCCAACTTTCACTGGCATGTTCCCCAACTTTCACTGGCCCAACTTTTACTAACATAAGGTCCCCAACTTTCAATGGCATAAGTTCCCCAACTTTCACTGGCATGTTAACCAACTTTTACTGGCATAAGTTCCCCAACTTTCACTGGCATGTTCCCCAACTTTTACTGGTATAAGGTCCCCAACTTTTACTGGCATGTTCCCCAACTTTTACTGGCATAAGGTCCCCAACTTTCACTGGCATAAGTTCCCCAACTTTCACTGGCATAAGTTCCCCAGCTTTCACTGGCATAAGTTCCCCAACTTTCACTAGCATGTTCCCCAACTTTTACTGGCATAAGGTCCCCAACTTTCACTGGCATAAGTTCCCCAACTTTCACTAACATAAGGTCTCCAACTTTCACTGGCATAAGTTCCCCAACTTTCACTGGCATGTTCCCCAACTTTTACTGGCATGTTCCCCAACTTTTACTGGCTTAAGTTCACCAACTTTCACTGGCATAAGTTCCCCAACTTTCACTGGCATAAGTTCCCCAACTTTCGCTGGCATAAGTTCCCCAACTTTCACAGGCATAAGTTCCCTAACTTTCGCTAGCATAAGTACACCAACTGTCACAGGCATAAGTTCCCCAACTTTCGCTAGCATAAGTACACCAACTTTCACTGGCATAAGTTCCCCAACTTTCACTTACATAAGTTCCCCAACTTTCACAGGCGTAAGTTCCCCAACTTTTGCTAGCATAAGTACACCAACTTTCACTGGCATAAGTTCCCCAACTTTTGCTAGCATAAGTACACCAACTTTCACTGGCATAAGTTCTCCAACTTTTGCTAGCATAAGTACACCAACTTTCACTGGCATAAGTTCCCCAACTGTTGCTAGCATAAGCACACCAACTTTCACTGGCATAAGTTCCCCAACTTTCACTGGCATAAGTTCCCCAACTTTCACTGGCATAAGTTCCCCAACTTTCACTAGCATAAGTTCCCCAACTTTCACTGGCATGTTCCCCAACTTTCACTGGCCCAACTTTTACTAACATAAGGTCCCCAACTTTCAATGGCATAAGTTCCCCAACTTTCACTGGCATGTTAACCAACTTTCACTGGCATAAGTTCCCCAACTTTCACTGGCATAATTCCCCAACTTTTACTGGTATAAGGTCCCCAACTTTTTACTGGCATGTTTCCCCAACTTTCACTGGCATAAGGTCCCCAACTTTCACTGGCATAAGTTCCCCAACTTTCACTGGCATAAGTTCCCCAGCTTCACTGGCATAAGTTCCCCAACTTTCACTAGCATGTTCCCCAACTTTTACTGGCATAAGGTCCCCAACTTTCACTGGCATAAGTTCCCCAACTTTCACTAACATAAGGTCTCCAACTTTCACTGGCATAAGTTCCCCAACTTTCACTGGCATGTTCCCCAACTTTTACTGGCATGTTCCCCAACTTTTACTGGCTTAAGTTCACCAACTTTCACTGGCATAAGTTCCCCAACTTTCACTGGCATAAGTTCCCCAACTTTCGCTGGCATAAGTTCCCCAACTTTCACAGGCATAAGTTCCCTAACTTTCGCTAGCATAAGTACACCAACTGTCACAGGCATAAGTTCCCCAACCTTCACTGGCATAAGTTTCCCAACTTTTACTGGCATAAGTTCCCCAACTTTCACTGGCATAAGTTTCCTAAATTTCACTAGCATAAGTTCTCCAAATTTTACTGGCATGTTCCTCAACTTTTACTGGCATAAGTTTCCCAACTTTCACTGGCATAAGTTTCCCAACTTTCACTGGCATAAGTTCCCCAAATTTCACTAGCATAAGTTCCCCAACTTTTACTGGCATAAGTTCCCCAACTTTCACTGGCATAAGTTCCCCAACTTTCTCTGGCATAAGTTTCCCAGCTTTCACTAGCATAAGTTCCCCAACCTTCACTAGCATAAGTTCCCCAAATTTCACTGGCATAAGTTCCCCAACTTTTACTGGCATAAGTTACCCAACTTTCACTGGCATAAGTTCCCCAACTGTCACTGACATAACACAGATTTTCATATGTCAATCCTAGACAAAATCCAGTTCAAAATTATTTCATCCAACCAGAACCCTAAATTAGCAATTGACTCATAAGGCAGGACTCCAAAATCATGCATTCAGTTCCTTCAACCATAACCCACAGATATACATCCTGAGATAACACATCAGGACAACCAACTTGAGCACTGAACAGCAACATTGTTGGCTCATCTCATGTACTAAAATTGATCTTTCATCACACAAGATCAATCAACAAAAAAAAACTGGCTACCTGGTCCTGCAGGTATCCATCGTCATCAACATCCAAAAGGAAGATGCTGGCAGCGTTGGTAATGAACACCTGTAGAATCCGCTGCAAGCCTGCCCTCACATCCTTGCCCTTCTCATCCCCCAAGTCAGCCAGATCTTGTACAGCACCCAGGTATGACAGATTACGCAGATATGTGCGCCGGGCACCATCATCCGGATCCAGAGACATGTTCAGCTGGAGCAACGACACAGTGCTAGTTGAGACTGAATCCTGTTTGTTAGGAACAAGTGCTTGAGGTTAGTCTATTGTATGTTTGAACACACATATAATTCAAGGATCTGAAATATCCGATACCTTAAAAAAAATCTCCTCCCCTGCTTATGAAACAGGCAACTTGTAATAATAAAGTTAATATTTATAAGGGTATTAATCACTTGGGCAAATAATGGGAATCTGTGGGTATAGGGTGCACAGACAAGGGAGAAATAATGGGCATTTGTGTGGGTATAGAGTGCACAAACAAGGGAGAAATCATCGGCATTTGTGTGGGTATAGAGTGCACAGACAAGGGGGAAATAATGGGCATTTGTGTGGGTATAGAGTACACAAACAAGGGAGAAATAATGGGCATTTGTGTGGGTATAGAGTGCACAGACAAGGGGGAAATAATGGGCATTTGTGTGGGTATAGAGTGCACAGACAAGGGGGAAATAATGGGCATTTGTGTGGGTATAGAGTGCATATACAAGGGAGAAATAATGGGCATTTGTGTGGGTACAGAGTGCACAGAGAAGGGGGAAATAATTGGCATTTGTGTGGGTACAGAGTGCACAGACAAGGGGGAAATAATAGGCATTTGTGTGGGTACAGAGTGCACAGACAAGGGGGAAATAATGGGCATTTGTGTGGGTATAGAGTGCATATACAAGGGGGAAATAATGGGCATTTGTGTGGGTATGGAGTGCATATACAAGGGGGAAATAATGGGCATTTGTGTGGGTATAGAGTGCATATACAAGGGAGAAATAATGTGCATTTGTGTGGGTATGGGTCATAAACAAAATAAAATAATGAAAGGTTATGGGGACATTGGGCAAAGACAAAAGTAGAAAACTGGGAACATGTGGGGACATTAGGCATAAAGAACGAACAATGGGAACATGTGGGGACATTAGGCATAAAGAACGAACAATGGGAACCCCTGGGGGCATTGGACATAAAGAACCAACAATGGGAACCCCTGGGGGCATTGGACATAAAGAACCAACAATGGGAACCCCTGGGGGCATTGGACATAAAGAACGAACAATGGGAACCCCTGGGGGCATTGGACATAAAGAACCAACAATGGGAACCCCTGGGGGCATTGGACATAAAGAACTAACAATGGGAACCCCTGGGGGCATTGGACATAAAGAACGAACAATGGGAACATGTGGGGACATTAGGCATAAAGAACGAACAATGGGAACATGTGAGGACATTAGGCATAAAGAACCAACAATGGGAACCCCTGGGGGCATTGGACATAAAGAACGAACAATGGGAACATGTGGGGACATTAGGCATAAAGAACGAACAATGGGAACATGTGAGGACATTAGGCATAAAGAACCAACAATGGGAACCCCTGGGGGCATTGGACATAAAGAACCAACAATGGGAACCCCTGGGGGCATTGGACATAAAGAACGAACAATGGGAACATGTGGGGACATTAGGCATAAAGAACGAACAATGGGAACATGTGAGGACATTAGGCATAAAGAACCACAATGGGAACCCCTGGGGGCATTGGACATAAAGAACCAACAATGGGAACCCCTGGGGGCATTGGACATAAAGAACGAACAATGGGAACATGTGGGGACATTAGGCATAAAGAACGAACAATGGGAACATGTGAGGACATTAGGCATAAAGAACCAACAATGGGAACCCCTGGGGGCATTGGACATAAAGAACGAACAATGGGAACCCCTGGGGGCATTGGACATAAAGAACGAACAATGGGAACATGTGGGGACATTAGGCATAAAGAACGAACAATGGGAACATGTGAGGACATTAGGCATAAAGAACCAACAATGGGAACCCCTGGGGGCATTGGACATAAAGAACAAACAATGGGAACCCCTGGGGGCATTAGGCATAAAGAACAAATAATGGGCAGATGTGGGGGCACTGGGTATGACGGACAAATAAGTGGTACCTGTAGGACACAGGGCATGAAAGACAAATAATGTGCATATGTGAGGGCACTGCGTATGACGGACAAATAAGTGGTACCTGTAGGACACAGGGCATGAAGGACAAATAATGGGCAGATGTGAGGGCACTGCGTATGACGGACAAATAAGTGGTACCTGTAGGACACAGGGCATGAAGGACAAATAATGGGCAGATGTGAGGGCACTGCGTATGACGGACAAATAAGTGGTACCTGTAGGACACAGGGCATGAAGGACAAATAATGAGCTTAACTGGGATCCTTCTGCAAAAAGGACAGAAACTGGGCTTATATGAGGACACAGGGCATGAACGACAAATGATGGGTACCTGTGGAGACATTAGGCATAGAGAACAAATAATGGGTACCTTTGGGGACACTGGGTATGAAGGACGAATAATAGGCATGGGGGATAGAAGGCGATTCCACATTTTGAGACATACTGAGTGTATGGGTTTAGTACGATATTTGTGTGTACCAGATATTTGTGTGTACCAAACGATACTTGATGGGTGAAGTGGGTCAATCTAACACCAGCTATCTTTACCTTCCAACAAATTCTTAGTGTCTATTTTAAGCTGGGTCATCCTAGGAGCCAAGGTCAGAGTTTTGTCCCTTCAACTTTAGCTTTGATGGGAATTCAACCACACATGACTTCCTGTAAGACACTGCTCTACCATAGCTTTCTCTTTCTCCTTTGTTTTCTGTATACTTATCTACACACACAGTTATGGCCAAAAGTTTAGGACCACACAGTAAATAAGGGATTTTCCCATAGATTTACGTAGTATTTCAGCACTGCTTTTTTTTTAAGGGCCCACTAAGGACAGTCACTGCAGACAAAATTCTGCACTTAAATAGCAGCCGATGCAATACTCCATAAAAGTTTGAAAATATCAATTTACCAGGTGGTCTTACATTTTTTTCACAACTATACATCAAATATATACAAGCCTAATGTACTTCACATACAAAATGTTCAAAACATCCTCAACAAAATATTATGTACAACAGAGTGTTAATACACAACAAATAACAATTAAAGCAACAAGTAAAACCATGCCAGAACTGAAAACAGCTGCTTCTCATGCCAACAGGCAGATCCCAATCATGTGATGAATGGCCCTTTTCAAATTTATGGCACACACACAGTACTAGACCTATACTTTTATAGATCAAATTGGAACTCGGTGGGTACTGTGATCAACGTCACGCCAGTTTTACTTCCCAGATCTTTACCTGGTACCTATTTAAGGATGTATCAACTTGTGGGAGTCCAGGTAAATTTTGAAAGAATCCTTCTTGATACGGATTTTAACAGGTGATCCTCAGACCAGCAGTCGAGCATGTAGCCACTATGCCACTACACTACTGTGACTCCCTCACTTTCTGCATCATAACAAGTTTTTCTGTTGTTGTTTTTTTAATCTGTCAACAGATATGGCAGCAGTGCTCTCTGCATATACACACTGTCTTCCTTCCTTTGAGGATCTGAGTATATATCAATGTATATGTCACTGCACATTGGAAGTCACACAGCGAGATGGTTAGCTACACGCCTGTTGGTTTGGCAGTTTTGAGTTCAAATCCCCTTCTAAGCAGGACTTTTTCTACAGACCAAATGGCTCTAGAATCTACCAAATATAACAATGGGTACCAGAATATGTGATGAGAACATGAAGCACGAAAGCCTAATGCTGATACTGTGCACTGAAAAGACAAGAGATGTTTGCTTTCTCAAACCCACCCCATCGTTATAATGATAAAGTCAATTAACATTAAATGATGTTTTTATCACTCAGAAGTTAGTAAAATTGTCTCACAATGTAATCATCAATATTTATCGGGGTCCGATTCCTGCTGTGGGGTTTGTTTTTAAAAGATCATTCTTGTGAATTTCACATAGTCGTGCAAAAGTTGCCCTGTCTAAAAGTTAAGGGACTCACCACATAATCTTCGCATAGTTAGCCGTAAATACTTTACATCTAACCTCCATTGTGCAGATGGCACCATGTCTATTTATTATGTAAATACTTTACAGCTAACCTTCACTGTGTCGATGGCACCATATGTATTTATTATGTAAAAACTTTACAGCTAACCTCTAATGTGCAGATGGCACCATGTGTATTTATTATGTAAATACTTTACAGCTAACCTTCACTGTGCAGATGGCACCATGTGTATTTATTATTATATTGAAAAAGTTCATAAATGTTAGTTGCTAAAAACAGCAAGCCTCAATGACAACAATGAAACAGAAGATAACATGCAACTAAAGGTTAACAGAAAATAGATCAAGCTCAGACAGAACCTGCATGCGGACATTTTCATATATACAACAACAGTGTATTTCATCTTATTTGACAGGTCTTTCTCCGCATATTCTTTGTCGGGACAATAAGAAAGTAAATGATATGCTAAAGCTGGTGCTAAAAAGTGCCAAAAGGAGTCTTGCAGTTTCTTCTTTTTCTGCTGTGTACGTCATTAAAAGAGCAGTTGGCATTTTGTGTTGCGGTTTATAGCTAGGCTGCAATACCTGTCCTTTCAGCCGAACACATCATATTTAAACAAACTTCTAATTAATAATCTTTTACAATATGGTGGTTAAGGGATGGGTCTCCCCCCTCTCCCCCAACTCCAAAATGCATCTCAGAACCCACACAGAGAGTATTTCATCTGTTCAACAAAAAAAAATTCTCAAAACGAGAAAGGTCTTGTTAAAAGCTGGTGCCAAAAAAGATAAATGGACAGTCCAGTAGTATGTGAATAGTTCAAACAGTTTTCATAAAGAGAACTGATGTAACACTTTTAAATCCTAGTAAACTAAGATCGTAACAAAAGACGAATGAAATGAACAAAGAACGAAGTATTTGTTATTACATGTTTGACCCCTCGGCCGGTGTTGTTCTGAACTTGGGTCAACACCGAGGCAAAATCAAGGTTATGTAGGTGCAGTAAGAGATGTGAGAACAAGCAGACTTCAAATTGCTTGTCCCCAAACACAGACTCTACACCATGTTTTATAAAACAGAGCCTA